GTAGTGCAACCTCACTTTTTCACTTGAGAAGCAAAATATGTTTGCCTCCAGCCACATCTTATCAATGAGCCCATTGCACCGAACTCCGCTTCCATGTCGTCGGTAATTCTCTTAAAATGGTTTCCTTAGCTACAGGGTACATTCAAATGAGATATTCATTTGCATTATACTTCCTGCGATGTTGGTATTATTTTTCAAGAGAAACAAAAGTTTCAACAGTGAAGTTTCAACTTTGAAAAGTAATGCAAAATTTAGGGCTGATTGGCTTAGGAAAAAGAGGGTGGGGTGAGCTGTAAATCATCGCTTACAGAAGAAGACTAGCGAGACATGTTAACCAACAGGCCCGGCTTTGGCGTGAACACTTGCGAAGCTACGAAATGCTGCAAGAGGGCTACTTTGGCCACAGGAGTTCACAGGTCTCCACGAGGGGGCTTGCCGCTGAGCACCATTTTATGCCCCATCTAAGCGCAAGCGGTCTCTTCCTCCTTTCTGAGTCCTTTTATCAGATCTTGTCACTTGTTATAACACACACACACACTCTCTCACAAATGTAGTGCATCGAAATTACCTCACCCCGTACGGAATCGAGGAGCTCCTGCTAACGTGCCTACGCGATGGCTGCTGAGATATAAGCTTCACTTGTAGCAATTGTTAGCTAAGCTAGCTGCGCTGATAGGAAACAGGTGCCAACTCTCGGAGACGATGTGACAGTGATAATATTCTCCTAATTCGCCAAGTATGCCTGTAAATGTGTGTATGTGTGTGTGTATGTGTGTGTGTGTGTCTGTCTGTCTGTCATGAAATTCGAAGCGCGCGTCGCAGGGACGGCGGGACTTTAGTTCCAAGAAGTGATATACGGTGCAAGACGGGTAAACTATTGGTGGGTGACAGAACGTGATAGCAGCTGATAAGATCCGATAAGAGGCTTTAGAAGGGGAGGGTGTCCAAACCCATGAAGTGGTTCGCAGCAACGATGGTATTTTTGTTCCAAGATGATGCGAGGTACTATGGACCAGTGGCATAACTTCTGGGTGACAAAAGGGATAGCAACTGAAAGGGGCTGATAAAGGGCTATAGAACTCCAGCCTGATTCATAGCCCACGCCACAGCATCGACGGGATGTTATTCCTGAATGTGATACGGTACATGGGACCGGATCATTATCGTTGGGTGAAACACCTACTGTGAGGGGCACAATGGAGACTAGACTCACAGCGATTTCGTTCAAAATTTCCTTCTTGGCGTTCTCTTCCGTTGCCTCGGTAGCATTCAAGTTGTTGTTCAAATCGTTGAGGTCTCGGAACTTCCCAGATTGCCTAGACCATATCTAAAACGCTATTTTTAGAAGAATGTTGCCGTAGTCCATTGCATGTTTTAGAATTGATCTGTTTCGTGTAGTGCTGACTTGGGGATGCTATGAAGACGCAGTCTTTATTCTCAATAGGCCTGACGGTGAGATAAACTTGTCATCAGGACCTAGCTGAGTTGACGAATCTCGGGTCAAGTAGCAGGGAAACCCTCTGCTGATCGCCTAGCATCGTGGATATAATGCGTCAAACTCCCTCCTTCGGCTTCATGTCACCAAGCCTGCCACTCTGTGAGAACACAAGAAAATTTCTAGATCTTAGTTGGATTGAGACCAAAAACATGACTTGAGCTACTGTCCCACATTCTAAGCAGCCTACCGTCCGGAATTCGTATTGAGTATGAGTTCTTTTACCTGTGGACACTGGGGAGTGTGATGCGAGAGGTTGGGAGGGGCTGGGGAGAGAAAGGGGATGGGCTCCGCGCCGCAGAAGCGTGTTTGCCACCAATCGTTGTCGCTTGCCCGTTTCAACAATTAAGTGGTGAATGAGCTGGTGTTACACCAAACCCAACCCCCTGACACGCTTTAGAGTCTGTAGCAAAAACGACTGTGAAATCTCCTGAACTGGGCTTATTATATGACTTGCCTCTATTTCCCTGTTTAGTTCAGGTACAATAAGCAACGTTCGCCATCCTCCTGCTTTCTTAGACCTGAAAGGGATTACCGCAATGGTTCTCTTCACACAAAGTATATCGAGCCCGTATAGACTGTTTCTTGATGAGACTCTGGATGCACAGAATTTACAATCCTCAGAAACCAATCAGTTTCTCATAGCGATTGCCTTTATCAGATAGCAGCGTACCGATCATTCCAC